ACCTGTCTCTGCACCTCTGGCAGGGGGCTGGTTGGGGGGAATGGGTAAGATGGGAGAAGAGGTTGTGATTGCTGCCATCTTGAACCTTGTTAGAAGGTTCGTGTGTGGAGGAGGACACAGGAGAATGAGCTAGTCTGGGGCCAGAGTGAATGGCTAAAGGAAAATAAATTTTTTTATGGGGAAACCAGACAATGAGGAATACTCCACAACAAAGGGCCTTGTCTGAGCTGGCTCCTGTCTCTCGGGCCTGCCCCCGTTGTTAGGCACACAGGAGACTGTGGTGACCTTGAGCGTGGATGGTCCCAAACACTGTGCCGCGTGTCTTTGTGCAGCTGTGGAGGCCTCAGGAAGCCCACTGAGAGAGTGGGCCTGTTCCCAGGCTTCAGGCAGGGAGCCAGGGGCTGCCCCTTCACCAGGGAACATTGAGGAGCTTCTGTGTATGCTCTGTATGTGTCTCAGCTTTCTTTGGAATTGTGGCAGAGTCTGGCCCTGCCTGGTCTTTTTTGTGCCTTGGATCCTAAGTTAATAACTGAAGGAACAGTGCCCCTGTTGACACACTTGATATGGAAGTTGCTGTCCAATGGCCATTTTATCCTCGTCGCCACTGACATCACACCATGTACAGTTCTGAGGTTCACACTTTAGTTTTGATTGAATAGAGCTATGATCGTTGGAGCAGAAAGCCGCCATTCAGATGTGAATAGACATGTCTAGTAACATGCAGATGTTTTTTGGCAGGTTGATGAATATTTTAAATCTTTTTCAAGAAGTAAAAAGGGTTGAATTGGAAATAGAGAAGATTCTGTGGCAAGAGAAAAGTATATTTCATTTCTCTCTCAATCTTCCTTTTCTTAAAATAATCAAACAAAAACGAGAACCAGGATTTAAATCTTGGATTTGTCATATCCCTTACATCTCTTTCTTCACATGGGAGTTGTGATTATGACTCTCATGTATTGAACCTCAGTTTCTCAGTCACATTCTTAAGTAAAAAGGAAACACTGGCTAATGTTAAAAAATAACAGCAGAATCTCCAGATTGGATCTTTGTCACTTACTTATAGCTAAAGACACAGGACTAAATGGAAAGAAAGGTCATCTTCTGGTGATCTATAAGCTGTGTGTGGTACGTGGGCACACCCTGGATTTGTCTCCTCCCTCCCCAGCACACCCCCCACCGTACTCGCAGCTTGAGTCAGCGCAGCTTCGTTTCCTTCATCCCTGTCGGTCAGTTCTTCATTAGTCACTCTGTCACCGCCCCTCGTGCCCCTTCACCCCTCCATCAGCAGAGCTGACACAAGCCCCTGTTGTGCTCAGCACGGCCCCAGCCCTACACGAGCTGGCGTCCGAGCCCGGGAGACCATAAAACAGGTCCTGCGGGAAGTGCTGTGAGAACACCAAGGAGAGGAAGTCTGGTTCTGCACAGAAGTGGGACCAAAGGAAAACAGGAGTGAAAAGGTGATTTTGTCCTGGGCCCCGGCAGCGACAGCGAATTAGGAGAAAACTATCCTGACCCAGCAGGGTGGTGAGATTGGAGTGACGATGCTTCGTCCGGTGCCACGAATCTGCTGGGGGCTATATCTGTTTTTCTGCCCCTTCCCGTGATAGAGGCGAGTAGAAAAGACACTGGTAACCACACGAGTGTGCCTCTAACTGACTGACTCCTTAGCTGGCCTCTGCCTCAGTTTCCCACCTTTCTCCCCCCAGCCTACCACCGTCCTCTTAGCTCCCTCTCTGCCCTGTAGTCCTGCCAAGCCTCTTGCCATTCTCTGAACATGTGGCTGACGCCCCGTTGACTGTGTCTGTTTATTCCTCTGCCCTGTGGTAAGGTGCCTGTGGTGGGTGCCGTGGGAGATGTCCCCTAGGCGGTTGGAACTAGGAGCGCACGGGGGCTACGGGGATGGCTGCATCAAGAGAGAACTCGCAGTTGAAGGCTTCGAAGGCTTCTTAGTTTTAGTTTTAGAGGTTTCTTTAAAAACAAAGAGCTCTGTGTATTCTCCCAAAGATAGAGGATTTGATCTGATCTAAATAGTTGGGATAGCTCATTTGGGGCCAGGGCCTTATCCTCTGGCTTCCATTCCTGCAGGCAGTCACACATTTGCAACATTCATGGATCAGCCTTTTCCACTGGGGAATCTGGGTCACTTCAGTCATGTTTCTCAAACAAAACATTAGCACTACTTCAGCAGGAAGAATAAAAGCATGGAAAATGCCCTAATGCCCACAAGCCCACAATTGAATACAGAGTCAACTATTGAAAGTATCTACATATGCATATCTGTATCTGTACAAAAACACACACATGGGGAAGGAGAGGTCTGTCTATCTTGCCTTAAGCCTTAGAAACTTAAAACTTGAAGATTCCAAAAATTTAGATTTAGAATAAAAATTAAATGGGATAATTGGTCAGTTTTTAAAGAATGATTTTTTAAATGTAAGACAAATAAAAGGTACTTCTTTTTTTTTTTTTTTAAGATTTACTTATTTGAGAGAGAGCATGTGCACGCACTTGCACACGAGGAGGAGGTACGGGGCGGGGGAGGGGCGGGGGGACAGGGCTGAAAGAAGTCTCATGACCCTGAGATCACAACCCAAGGCAAAACCAAGAGTTGGACGTTCAACCAACTGTGCCACCCAGGCGTCCCAAATAAAAGGTACTTCTGTTTCACTTAAACATTTGATGACATTTATTTATTCTCAACTTTTCAGAAACACACCCTTTAGTTAAGACAGATATACCTGGTTTTAAAAACAAATGCCACTCTTCACACTAGACAGGGCTGTCCTGTGAATTTTACTTCTTGGCAATTTTATTTCACCAAACCATATCCTCTTTGAAACAATGGAGCTGATGCCTAAAAATATCTCGGGCTGTGCTTGCTGGGAGTCTTTGAAGCTAAAGCTGTGGCATCCTTCTGGTTTATGGCTGCAGGATGATGCATATATGTATTGTCTTTGTTAATTAACTCCATCTGTTTTGTAAGCCTGAAAAAGAAATTGGATGAAGCTGCATATATGTATGGATGGGTAATATTCCTTTTGCAGTAGTGAGCCAGCAGCTCCAACAGCTTTTCAGTTTTCCTTTTGCTACCAGTTGCTAAAGTGCTGTGGAGCTAAGGCTCATTCTTCAAGAGCCTGTTGTTGAACTGGGCATCCCATGCAGTTGCACTTGTGTTATCTGTATGAGAGAGGTTGAGTTTCCTTACTGCTTTGGAAAAGGGTAGTGATTCTCCAAGTGCTCTTTCTGTGGCAGATGAAGGGAACTTTCACCTTGCAAATAGAAAATTCCATTCTGGAAATCAGAATGAAAGTGTTCAAGTGGAAGTCAGACTTCCACTGTATATATGTTCCCTTTGGTGAAACCTTTTTTTTTTTTTTTTAGATTTAATTAGTTAGTTTAGAGGCAGGGAGGGGCAGAGGGAGAGGGAGAGAGAGAAACTTAAGCAGACTCTGCGCTGAGTATGGAGCCTGAGGTAGGGCTCGAACTCATGACCCTGAGATCATAACCTGCGCCAAAACCAAGAGTCAGTCGCTTAACCAACTGTACCACGCAGGCGCCCCTCCCTGGTGAAAAGTTTTCATGGTACTAAATTTCTCTTTGCTGGTTTTAGGGAGGCTAGTTAAAAATTTTCGACAATGGGGATTCGCATTTCTTCCAGCTTGGCATTGTCTGCATCCCCAGTGGGTTAGCCAGAAGAAAAAGCCTATATGGCCTGGTGGCATCTCCTCTGTTAGGACAGGACAGCATGTCAGAAGCCAGAAAGCGATGGGGTGATGTGGGTTGCTAAGGTACTGGCTGGAGTGGCATGCTCATTAGCACGTTCTCTCCCTCCAGCCTCATGCTGGTTCTCGTGCATGTCTGCAGTCAGTTCATGATTTGAATACCCATCTGCAGAAGACAATATATGAGCTTCTAATTCTCTTCCCCATGGTCATTTTCTTCTTTCCTTCATTCTGAGTCATCTTTGATTAAACAAAACAAAGATGTTACTGTTAATTATGCACCCTTTCGAACAGTGCAAAAATTCTTTTGTGTGTGTGGGGATGGTTTTGATGGGGATAGTAATTTATGATGGCAGTATTTTAAACCATGGACCAGGATGCTAAGAATCATAATGAAAAAAAGTGTGAGTCTCTACTAAGATAAGAAAAATGGTTTCTGCTTTTTTATTCACATTCCTCAGACCTTTTACTTTCTTCCCTAACGTTGTCAACATAATTCCATTCAGCCATTTTTATTCTCTTTAGACATCTTATTAAAACTGAAGCTTTGTTCAAATAGCTAAAATTGCAAATAATAAATGAGGTACCATAATATTGGCAGGTTGTAGGCAGAGTGCATGAGCAAACTGGAAATCTGCCATCCTGCTCCTGGCACTTTAAAGATTAATGTGAAATGGGCAGGGGTGCCACAGAATCAGCACTCCGCTCTGCCAGGGGGTTGGCACAAGGTTCTAAGGTAATCCTGGGGCTCGAGTTCCGTGGACAAGTTGGTGCAGGCTGGTGGGTTGGCACACCTCCCGGAGAGGGGAACTCCAGCTGATGGGAAAGAGGGGCCATCCCAAGAAGGCTGTTTTGACAGCAAAGCCCACCCACAGTTAGACAGGAAGTGGGGCACACATGGGCTGGGGGCTAAGGGAAGATCTAAGCCAAGGGGAGAGTTGAATAAGACCTTGGAAGACTCATTTTTTTAATGTGTCCCAACTATGGATGATTTGTAGGCACTCAGAAGATGTGTGTGTGTGTGTGTGTGTGTGTTTAAGACCTCCATCTTTATCTTTCCTGACTCCAGAAACTCAAAATCTCATGTCGGCCAGGTCTTTGCAGTTGCAGGCAGGCGTTTGTGGCAACTGTGACTTAGCAACAATTGTATGAACGAGAAAAAAGTTGTGGGCAAGTTGATTTTCTGCAGCAAATGGAAATTCTTTGGTGGTACTTTGTGGGAGGTTTATAGGCAGAGTGTTCAGTTCTTTTTTGATGTCTATTTTTTTTCTTCTACAGTTTTTTGAAGAAGCAGGATGCTGATCTAGACGTGGAAAAAGTAAGTTGACAAGTTTTGCACTGAGAGCACATGCCTTGTGAATTAGAAAGGGTGTCCCATTGGGACCCAGGACTTGGTCCACTTTGAATTTGGGATTGTGACTCTGAGTCTGTAGGTTTCTAGGAGAGAGGTTGAGTTGGAGAGGGAGCTGGTACATGAATAGAAAGTCTTCCCTCACTTAGGTGAATCTACCATTTTCCCCTTCTCTTAGTTGTAACACTCGGTTTTGATAATTATGGGAACATATTTTTTAGCTATACGATGTGTCTCCTTACCCCAGAAATAGAATGGGACAGCGGTCCGGTGGCTGATGAGCCTTCAGGGGCTGCTGAGGGGTGGGTAGCACTCTGTCTTCAGACTGGTCAAGGAAGTCCATCCATTTTTGTTTTTTCTCTACTCTGAGATGATTACTGCTTACCTCTGCCCTAGTTATACCTTCGAATTGTAGTCACTGTGTCACAGATCATTCTTGCGTTCACTGAACGTTTTTTTGAGGCATACTGCGTGTTAAGCACCGTGCTGGACTCTGTTGAGACAAAAATGAATTTGGCCGACAAGTCACAGGCAATGATTATACAGTGTGATAGAAGTGTGCAGAAGGGGCTCTAGAAGCTCAGACTGAGGCTGGACTGTCCAGAGAAGCTCCCTGATGGAGGGGATGTGTGAAGGAACCACATATTCATTGCTTCTGTAAAGTTTGCTGAGTCTTCTCTGCTTGTACTTCGCTCGTCTCCCAGGTGTCTTGGGTTCCCATGAAAGATTGGCCTTAAGTAAGTCTCACACGCCACCGTGGGATCCTCTTCTGCCCCAGTCTCCCCCAATCACATTGCCTTGGGGGTAATTTTTCAGCAGTTCAGAGTTACAATCCTCCATTCCCTGGCCAATCAGGGGCTCCACTTCATCATCTAAGAATGACTTGGGGTTATTTCCCATTTTGAATTTGTGTGTAAGACAGGTTCTTCTCCCTGAACCTAGAGCCATTCTTATGCGGTTGGTGTACCTTTAAGTTACTATCTGAAACCTCCTTCTAGTCTACGGCCATCCCACCCTGAATGCTCCCGATCTCGTCTGAAACCTCCTTCTAGAACAATTACGAGCAACCCCTGACCTTTGTCCCATGCAGCCCCCTAGCTTCTGCAGAATGGCCTGTGATCTACTTTCAGTCGTGGCCTTTTCAGCTCATGCAAACCAAGGTGACTCAGGCTCTAGTCAGGGCTACATTGGAGGGGAGCCTTATCGAAATCCCGGTGTGCTTAGGTTTTGGGTGTGGAAGCCAGGGGCTGGCAAAGGTACTCCCTATGAGGGGTGGGGGGTCATCACTGCAGCCCTCATGGGCCAGGCTGGCCCCAGAGCAGGCTAGAAGAGCCTTTGGGTGCCAGGAGCCACCTCGGGATGGTGTAGTGCAGAATAGCCGGACTAGCCAGACGGGTTAGGAAATGCCTGGAGCTGTTCCAGGTTGCAGGGCTTGCCCTGCCTTGTGAGAGGTGAATCCTACAACCATGAAAGGGGGAGGTCCAGTTTATGGAGGAGGCGGGTCTGTTAATTGTGTTCTCAGTACAACCCAATGCCAGGCAGACAAGAGGGCTCAGTAAATGGGGTGTGAAGCCCTGAGTGGAATGAATTAGAGTCTTGCTTCAGCTCTGCTGTTTACTTGCTCTAAGACCTCAGGCAAATCTTTTCTCCTGTACAAGCCTCATTTTTCTCATCAGTAACATGGTCCATTTTCCAGGATCAAGTAAAATTCTTCATTTTTTAACTTAAAAACATAAACCGCACATATTTCTTAATTTTCTGACTTGGGCTTTGTACCAAAAAGGACAAAGGGCTGTTGGCCACAAGTCTGAAGGATGCTTAATAAGGCCCACCAGAGGCTGGGAGGTCCTTGCAGGCGCAGCCTTGTCTGTTGTACGTACCCTCAGGTGCAACACTGGCTGCAATGAGTATCTAATGAGGGAATGAATACTGTGACTGACCCTGTCATGTGGGTTGGGTATTTGTAAGTACTGAGGGAAATTCAGAATAAGAGAAGCTAAAAGGGTGGTGGGAAATGCTTCTTGGGCTGCGTGGATTTGAGCTGCCTGCAGAGGACTCTGCCTGCTGCACCCTCTCAGTCACATAGTTAATGACCTGGAAAACACTTAACCACCCTAGGGGAGTTTACTATTTTAAAAGTTCTAATTCAAAAGCTCCAATTCCAAAATTTTTTCTAATGCTGATAGAAGGCTGTTGAGCACAGATGTGTAAATTGTTCTTTTCACCTGTATTTATATATCTGCCAAGAAGAATCTAGAATAGGGTGTGCCTCCGTTGTATAATTAAATGATACCTGCTGGCCAACCCAAGTGAAGAAAAATTACAGAAGTCATGGTGTGTTTTTTTCTAAATGGATTTTTGAGTTTTCTCTTTTAGTCGAACATTTTTGTAAAGATAGAACTATGAATGGAAAATTAGCCTTATCTCGACATGTGAAAGCTCAAAGATAAATCAACTAAATCCTGTAATTAATTATTATCTATAGTTTATTGAGCTTATACTGAGTGCTTTCTGTGTGTCACACTTGACCATTACAACAATTTTGGGAGGGAAACATTTCCCTTGCTTGAGGCACTACGGTAATAGCAAGGATTCTAATTCTGTCTTGGTCTAGAGCCTTCTCTTTCTCATACCCTACCTTACCTTGAAATTGATACAATATTTGGGACAGTATATTTGTGTGACCTCTTTCTAAAAAGTATTACGAGTAATAAAAAGGCAGTGTTACTTTCTAGAGAGGTCTTCTTTGACACTTCCCTGCAATCTGGATGGGGTTGCCCTGCCACCATGCACTTCTTCAAAGCTATCATTGTTGTATAGTTATTTGTTCAATAACCATCTAGTATCTGTTCCCTCTTGAACTGTAAGCTTTGTCAGATCTGAGTCCTTACACGTGCTAAGCCTAGTGCCTGACTTATAGAATGCCTTCTTAAAATGTTGACTATAGGCATGAGTGACTGGCACATGACCAAATTAGGGGGTAATGAGAGTCCATGAAAGCCACTTTGGTAGGTGGCAAAGTGAAAAATCTTTCTGTATACTCCAGAAATCATGGTTTTCTTCTCCATCTATAGGTTTTATCTGTGGAAACCATGCTAGTTAATAGCATTACATGGAGATAAGACAATCACTCCTTGACTTCCTCTTCAAAAGTACAAAGTTTCAAGCAGACAAATGAATAGATTATTGCAAAGAAAGTCTAAGGATAAAAGAGGGAGGAGCGGTAAGAGCACAAGGGAGATAGCAATACTGCTTTGTTTTGTTTTTTTCACAGAATCTTCTTGAATTATTAAGGGATACACTTCTGAGTATGGTTTACGTAAATCACTGATTTAAATATATACAGTGTATCTTCTAAAAGTAAAACCCATACTCAACTGAATTTTAAAGAATATGTAATTAGGCTATGTCAGAAGGACAAAAATGTACTTTTTAAAAAATAAAACTGATTAAATTGGGTTATCCTATTTGGTGATTTAAATCATGATTTAAATGGATTTGCTTAAAATAACATCTACTTTGGTCATAATGACTTTCAAAGGGCTAAGGAGAGAGGTTTGATTTCCATGTATCCTAAATGATTTTCATGTATCCTGCATGGCCTTTGTCTAGCATGATTGAAAGTATTTGGCACTTGCTTTGAAAGAGATCCATCATTTTTGTAGTTTCAGTGAGAACAAGAATCCCTGTATTGCTATCCTGTTTGCAGGGTTTGGATAGCTGCCTTTAGGCCACAAATATGGCCATAGATATTACTGTTTGATAGATACAGAGGCCACCCCAAATAAAAATTGTCATTCGAAAGAAGAGTAAAGAGAATGCTTTAGAATGTTTCCTTTTTCCCAGTGAATTCCTTAAAATGTGTTCATCCGTAAATGTAGAATGTACGTAGAAGTTGCTCCATTTTTCAATTTCTTTTTTTTTAAAGATTTTATTTTATTTTATTTTATTTTAAAGATTTTATTTATTTATTTGAAAGAGAGAATGAGAGAGAGAGAGCATGAGAGGGGGGAGGGTCAGAGGGAGAAGCAGACTCCCTGCTGAGCAGGGAGCCCGATGTGGGACTCGATCCCAGGACTCCAGGATCATGACCTGAGCCAAAGGCAGTCGCTTAACCAACTGAGCCACCCAGGCGCCCAATTTCTTTTGTTTTAATAAGTCCCAAGAGAAGTGATAACAATATCCTAGTTTCTTATTGTGGGGCTAATAGTTTTTGTTAAAAAAAAAAATGTGGTTCTAAACAATTGGTTCAAAATTTGAGATTGCATCTGGAACCAAGCTTTAAAGCCATGTATATGGGATTCCTACATAGCTGGTTGAGAGGTGGAAAAATTAATTCATGTAAGATTTTTCTTTAGTAGGGAGAATAGGATTTCCAGGGGTCAGAAGGTCAGCAGGGCTTATATGGGGAGTCCAAAGGCATGAGGATGTGTCTCCACTGAGAATGTGTGTGTGTATGGGGGCAAGGGGCAGCGTCAGGGTGTAGCATTTCCCTGTGTATGCTGGTTGCTATAAGGAGGTGTGAAAAGCAAGAGGGAAGAACACCCATAATGTAGCAGCCATTGCTTCCTGAATGGAATGGAGGGCTCTCTAGGTGGGTGTGGGGAATGGAGAAGGCAGCCCTGGTGTGCAGATGGGACTGCTCCTTAGGCCTTCTCTCGTCCACATGCTTAGGGCTGTCAGCCACAGGGCTTATAGGATGCCCACTTGTCTCCCATTCTCCATGCCCTGCCCCAGCCTCCACATAGATTGACGCATTCTCTTGGAGATTGGACATGGGGAAAGACCAGCCTCCCTATCACTGAGTAAAGGCTGGGCTTCCTACAGCCTGCTTTCCTGGTGACCACAAATGGTTTGAGTGGGAGGGGATTGTTTGGGAGGGAAGAACTTGCATATAGTTCTGCTTTAGTTTGAAGAACGAACAGTTTTAGTCCTGCACCAAAAACAGTTATTATACATCACCCATA